AACAATATTGTATATTATTCAGGGATACATACGCGGAAAACAAAAACAAACATAAGTGTCAGAAATGCCCCATTCAGTAAAATAGTTTTTTTTTTTTTTGTCTTTTTGAGATAGGGTCTCACCATGCAGTTCAGATTGGTCTTGAACTTACTATGTTGCCCAAACTGGCCTTGAACTTGTGACAGTCCTCCTGCCTCAGTCTCCTAAGTGCTGGGATTACGGGCATATGCCACCACGCCCAGCTTGAACTCTTGGTGATCCTCCTGTCTCAGCCTCCCGAGTCCTGGGATCACATGCATGCGCCATCACACCTGGCCGAATGTCTTATTTTTAAACTAGATGTTGAACACTTATCTGAGTGTTCTTTACACTACTAAGTCTAGTTCATGTTTTAAAAATCTAGCTTATTAAAAATATATATAAACCTTGATTTATGTCTGTGAGGGTCTCAGAGAAGGTGTGGGCCCGTGGATGTGGACGTAGGGATGGGAAGAGTCTGGCTGGGAGTGGAGAGTTTGAGGGAGTGCCGAGGGGCAGACGCACTTTTGAAAAGGGATGTGGGAATAGGAAGGCACCCCAGGGAGGGCTGGAGCCTGGGCGGCTTACTGAGAGGGTGCGTCTGCGGGGGCAGGGCTGTCGGCCCTGCCGTGCTGTGAGCAGGAGGCGGGGCTGAGAGGCGATCAGAGCCTCTGGGCGCGCCTGTGGGCGCGGGCACCTTGTGCCTCAGGCTCTCCTGTCTTCACTTAGCCTCTGATCACCTTGGTTTCCCTTCTTTTCCTAACTTCTTGCCTGTCCTTTTTGAGCGGCAGTAAACTGAGTTATTACACAGCGTGTTCCGGGTTCAGCGCCGTCACCGTGTAGTTCAGGAATATGCTAACAAATTCAGTTTGGGCTCGGATATGTCTGCAGAGGACCATCGTTTATCTTCCCCTTTCGGCTGCACCAGCACATCGGGCTGACCTCTCTGAAAAATAGTGGACTGCGATGTGAAGATCCCTTTCCTGGGGAATTGATGCCCTCTGCCCCGGAAGCCTGCACAATTAGGTTTGCTTTTTGTCCGCATGGATTACTGGCAGGTGGCATACTCTTTCCGGAGATCTCAGGAGTCTCTCTTATTTTTTTGGCCAGTCAACTAACCAAACTGGTCTGTTGAGACCTCTCTGGAGTATTTTCCCCTTGATTTTATGTTTTATTAAAAAGATGGCAGCCAAGTGTGATGGTGCACGCCTGTAACTCCAGCATGCTGGAGGCTGAGGCAGGAAGATCCCAGAGAGTTCAAAGCCTGCCTGAACTACGTAGGGAGACGGTCTCAAAAAAAAGAAGATGGCCGTGGACTTGGAGAGTTTGTGTACTCATCTTAGTGTATTTATAAATACTACAGTGCAAGTCAGTGGCCCTTGTGGGTTATTTGGTTGGTTGTGCTTTAATTGTGTTGTTTGAGTTGTCTCTCTCTAAGCCAAACCTTTCCTTTACTCTTTCATTCTTCTTGTTTTTTTTTTCGCCTGTTCACTCTGCCTAGGAAACTTTTAAAACACATTCAAGTAGTACGGTTTGCTTTTCAGAGTTTGTTTCTCTAGTAGGCTGTGCAGCGGTTTGTTCACAGATCGCCTGGGAGCCTCCCAGAGAGGCCTGGGGATTGTTGGAGCCTACAGGAGGTACGGCGACCACGGCTGATGATCACACCCAGGAAGGTGCCCTCTGAGCTCCTCACGGCGAGCAGGGTGACGGCGCTTGTGTCGCCTGCCTTGCCAGGATCGCTTCTGTGGAGCGAAACCGCACTTGGCAACTTGTTCTGTTTTCTAAGCGTTGCGCAAGGCCTGACATTATAAATCCGAGAGCGGAGAGCAGGGGAGCCGCGCTCTCTGCACCGTGAGCCGGTGCGGGCCGATGTTTGCCAGCCTGCCTGGCTCCCCGCCCCTGTGGAGCGTTTGCCCCAGCAGAGCTGTGCAAAAGGCTCTTGGCACATCGCGCCGTTCCATCCTGCAGCTCCTCAGACCGCTTCACTTACTTCTTACAAAGGTGACACTTGTGCGTTATGCTAATGAGGAGGTCAGCGGAGTCGGCAGTGGAAACTGAGTCTCGGCCCCTTGTGCTCCGGTCCTCTGGCTCCTCTTCCAAACCACCAGTGTCCTGGCCCTGATGCCGACACCGCAGCACCCTCCTCGTCCGAAAGTGTGGAAATATGTGTTAAAGGTTTTTGCAAACGTAGCGTCAGATGCATACAGTTTTTGCACCTTGTTTCAGTTAATAGTTTATGTTGTGCCTCATCCTTTTAAAAAGATATAGTTATTTATTTATTTACAGTGTTGGGGATCAAACCCAGGGGCTCGTGCCTGCTATGCAAGTGCTTTAACACTGAGCTGCACCTTTTTTTTGTTGTTGTTCTTTTGAGACAGGGTCTCGCTATGCAGCTCAGGTTGGCCCTGAGCTCACTTTGTAGCCCGAGCTGGCCTCGAACTCCCAACAATTCTCCTGCCTCAGCCTCCTGAGTGCTGGGATTACAGGCATGCGCCACCACGCATGGCAACCCCCAGCCCTTTTTTAAATTTTAGTCTGAGATAAGGTCTTGCTAAATTGCTGAGGCTGGACTTGAACTTGGGATTCTTCTGCCTCAACTTTCTGAGTAACTGGGATTATTACAGGAGTGCACCACTGTGCCAGGCTTTCAATATTTTTCTTAAAAAATATTTTATTAAAACAATCTTCCATGGCATGGACTGTACATATTTTGGGGGGAGGATTGTTCTAATAATTTGTCTTTTTTTTTTTTTTTTTTTTAATGGTATTGGGAATGGAACCTAGGGCCTTTGCGCTAAGCTACATAACCAGCCTTTTTAAAACTTTTAAATGTTGAGACAGGGTCTCACTAAATTGGTAAACGGCTGAGATTGGGCTCAAACTTGTGACTCTGCTGCCTCAGTTTCTCAGAGGAGTGGGATTATAGGTGTGTATCTCTTTGTTCTAATGGCTGTGCTTATCACTTGTGGTATATTTCTTCAGCCGAGTGTGACAGCGTACGTCAGTAACCCTAACACTGGGGTGGCTGAGGAAGGAGAATCATGGTGAGTTGAAGGTCAGCCTGAACGACATAGCAAAACGACCCCCCTCAAAAAAAATTACAGTCTATTTCTCCAGACAATATTTATTGATTCCCTGCTATGAGCAATGATGAAAATATTACTAATATTACTTACATTTCCTGCTCCTGCTCCCCATCAGCCTTTACTGGCTTATTTATTTGCCTTAGTTTTTGTTTCTGTCTTTTTTTTTTTCTTTCTTTCCGGTACCGGGGATCGAACTCACGACCTCTCGCTTGCTCGTCAGGTACTGTGCCGCTGAGCTAAATCCTTGGCCCCTTGTTTCTGTCTTAAAATATACTTAGGTCTCTATTTCATGGCCACATCCTCTGTTAACCACCCTTGTCTGCTCTGTGGTGTGACTAATGCTCTGCACGCAGCCCTCGCCAGGGCAGTTACTTTTGCAGCGTGGCGTTGACTCTGAGCAGATTCAGTCCTTTGCGTCGCATGATGTTTGGGAGACAGAGCCACGTGGTTACCCGCAGCCCTTTTATCCGTTGTCACTGCTGTGTAGTACTCCTCTACGTGAGCAGATTGCAGTTTATTTCTCTATTTATACTGTTGAGGGGGAACTGAATTAGTTCTGGGTTGGGGTGGAGAGGAACCTCCATGCTTTGAAAAGTGTCCTGCATGTTCCCAGTACACGGGAGTGTGGTGGACCACCTGGGCGGCTCTCCTCGCAGGAGGAGCAATGGTCTCCATCATGGCTGACCCCAACCCTGTTTCCTTGCACTGGTGTGTGCAGAGCTGGCTGGGACTCTTCCTTATCCCTTTGACTGGCTTTAAGCCATGCCCATCGGTCCTGCCGAGGTGCTGATGGTCATCCTTGAAGACAGCAGGTGTTTCCCCGGACCCCCACCTGTTCTTTCCTGTGTGAGCCGGGACAAGATGGGATGAAGAGCCAGTGCTCCACGCTGTCGCTGGGATGGAGCCTCAGCCTCAGGATACAGGCTGTGACTTCCCGGGGCTTGAAAGATTACGCATCGGAGCTGAAGCACCGACCCCAAAACACTAGATACTATCTCAGTTGTGTCACGCAGGTTACTCTTTCTGCAGATCCTCCTCTCTGCATTTGCAGAGGGGATTTCAGGCCTCCTACCTACCCAGCTCACAGCACTCACCTGCTTCCTCAGTTTCTCACAGTCACTCACCCTCAAGCCACTCCCATCCTCACAAATTAATAAAACCCGGGTTCGGCCTCGGGTCGAGGCCTTTGCTCCTGATGGCCATCATCATGGCTGGAGTTAGGACCCCTTGGCTCCCCACAACTGCAAATATGCCTTAGTGTCCTTACTGTCACCGTGGGTGGCACTGGAAGTGGTAGACTGGAATTAACTCGCTCGAATTCCTGTAACTTTCCTTAGGACTACAGATATAACTTCCTGGGCCGCGCCGAGGACCGGGAGGGCTCTCTGTAGGGGTGTAGGTATTTCTTGTGAGATATTGGGGGGCTGTGCACACTTCACCCTCCCTAGGGTTCGGGAAGCTGTCCTGTCACCTCACACGTGACGCGGCGTGGGCTCCTCGGGTAGCGGTGCCCTGGACACGTCTCGTGCTTCTCTGTCCCATGCCCAGGGTCTCTGGGAGGCGCTGTTCCCGCTGTAGGGATGAGAACTCAGTTCAAAGGCGTCGGATCGTCTGGTGCGTGTTCACAGGGGTGCTGGGTGCTCGAGCGGCGTTCCAAGCCTGCCGCCTCCATCTTTGGGCCGGGCGGTGGGGGAGGCACTGGCAGCGCCCCACGGAGACCGACCCTCACGGGGCCCTTGTTGTAAAGGGCAGGTTGCTGCGGGCGTGGCTCGGGCAGAGTCGTTCTTGGGGGTCACCTGCTTTTCAGTGCCCCATCCAGTTTTGTACGTGGATCGTACTCAGAAAGTGTATTCAGTTTCCTAACGTCTTGTTTCTTTCTTTTTTTCTCGATTTCAGTATCCAGCCTGTGTATGGAGCACAACACCCTCCTCTGGACCCTCGACTCAGCAAAAAGTAAGTCAGGGCATTTTTCCTTCCATCCATCAGTTGGTTTTTTTTTTTTTTTTTAACCGCTGCACTGTCTCCTCTGCCCTATTTTGGACCAGAAAGTGAGTAATTATTTTACCTTCAGATGGTCCAATACTAACTGGGAGAGCTCTTTTTAAAAGTGTTTTGTTTTTGTTTTTGTTTGGTAGTACTGAGGATTGAAGCTAGGGCCATATCTTCTGCCCCTTAAAAATTTTTTTTTATCATATGGCGGGGTCTCACTAAGTTCCTCAGTTGCCTGAACCCGGAACCCTCCTGCCTCAGCCTCCAGGGTGGTTATATTATAGGCATGTACCACCAAACCTGGCATCAAAATGTCTTTTTGGCTTAAATATTATCTCTGAATCCAGGTGATCTCCTCCCCATCTCCCAGCTGGACATCCGGTCTCTGGGGCTCATTGCTGCTGAGTAGGAAGGACGGCACTCTCTTCAGCCTCTCTCCCTCTGACACACCCAGGAAATCCTGGGCCGCACGCGCACGTAGAAGCTGCCTGGAAGCTATTTCTTTGGTGAAGCTCTACTAAGTTATTTTCAAACCGCAGTGACTGTGGTTCAATCTAAGATGTGTGGGTGTGCACCCGGCCCCGGGGGTCACTTTAGCACATCTTTCTCCCGTGGGCTATCGCTCCGCCCTGGTGACTTTCAATGAGGAGGCTGATCCCCTTCTAGAGTTTCTTTGGTGTGCTTTCTTGTTGCTGTCATTGTTGTTCACCACACCTGGCTCTTTGGGCATGTTTAATCTTAGACTTGTTTTGGGGAAAGCTGTAGTTTGTAACAAACACCAAAAGATCTGGGAGGGGAAACCTCAGTTTTCAGTCTCCCGGAGCTGTGTAATAACAGCTGCCCTCTCCTCCTTCACAGCTGATGGGGAAACCCGGATCACGTGTGATTTTGATTGCAGCTGTGTACCGTTGTGGGAAGGGAGGCCTGCGGAGACGGGGAGAGGGTCGGATTGCTGGGGCTTGAGAGCAGCAAGAGGGCTTTTAGTGTAGATACCGTCTGTAGTGCTGGGTTCGTGTCCTTCTGTGTTTGTCCAGCCCATCAGACAGGGGACATCCAGCGGGAACACAGTGAGGTCTGTGACCTCGGGCGTGGCCTGTCGGCCTGCGCCTGTCAGTGTGCGGTGGGGAGTCAGCTGGGAGGCTGCGCGTGTGCAGGGGAGGGGCCTATGGGAGAGCTCCTGTGCCTTCCTCTCGATTTTGCTGTGACCCTTCAACTGCTCTGAATAAAGAAAGTTGCTTAAAAAAAGAAAGAAGATAATGAAAATATTTTGAATATCTAGAAAAATGCTAGAGCAAATATGCCTTGTTAGTATTTTTTTTGTCCTTTTTTTAAATTTTATTTTTATTTTAAAAATTTGTAGGAGTGCATATGTGACATACGTAATGATCACGTTCATCATAGGGAACTTGTAGCTGTATGTGATAGGTCTTCATTCTTCCATTGTTAGTATTTGAATCTTTTAAATAACAGCCGAGTGCAGTGTCCTTTTATCATTCTCCGAATCTGGTCTTTGTGTCTTCTGAATTACTGCAGAAGCATGACTGCTGTTCTCTTCTGTAAGATGCATAATCTTTAGGTGAGAAGCCACTAGAGCATAAGTTTCTTGGGGGCTGGGACTTGGCTGTGTTTTGTTCTGTTTCGTCTTACTGAGGTGGGTTCCCACTGTGTTGCCAGGCTGGCCTTGAACTCCTGGGCTCAGGGCCTCAGCCTCCCAGGTGTCTGGGATTACAGGCTGCGCCTGCCTGCTCGGCTAGAGTGCCTTGTTTTGTTTAGCACTCCTTCCCTTAGCACCTAGAAGAGCACATGGTGCATTGTGGGCCCTGAGGACATCCTCACAGAATGAAGGAATGGAAATCTTCTTCACTTAAACAGCACGCTTCTCAATTTCATGCTCCTTAGTTTGTACCTCGTGTTAGCTCTTCTCAAGGGGAGCCCCTTTCTGTGATATCTGTGATGCAGCCATTATGTAATGTTACCTTGGCTCACGGCTTCAGAGGTTGCAGTCCATGGTCAGCTGCACTACCTTCAGGCTGTGGTAAGGCAGAAAAGCACTGAGGCATAACATAGGAGAGGTTCTCACCTCCTGCAGCCAGGAGGTAGAGAGGAAAGGAAAGAGCCCTGCACACACCTGTTCCCAGGGCCCTGCTTCCTCCCGCAGGGCCCTGCCCGCTGGCAGCCCATTCAGGTAGGCGTGGCCATCAGAGCGGGAATCCACTGATGAAGGCAGACGCCTGCTGATCAGCCCCCTCTTAGCCCCAGACCTGTGCACACCAGCGTGGGGCCCAGGGTCTCTGTCCGTGAGTCTTCGGGGGACGCTTCACATGTAAACCCTAACTCACCAATACGCTGTGTTCTTTGGCCTTTTGTTTTGTTTGTGGTACTAGGGGTTGAACCCAGGGCTTCCCGTGCGCTGGGCAAGCACTGCTGCTGCGACGAGCCGCGCTGCAGCCCCCGTCCTGTTTTGCTGAGTGTAGACTCTGGTCTGTTGGCCGGCGCAGCAGGCACCCCTGGGCCTCCCGGACAGTCTGGGCCTGCTTTTGCCTTGCACAGGAGCTGTTGTTTTATTCGGATGCTGAGTGCGTGGCGGTGCTGTAAGGGCAGGTGTTGGGGCTGGTTTCGGCTGCTTCTCACAGACCTTGGTCACCCCTGTGATGTGGTGGGGGCCTGCCTTGCTGGTTCTGGTGGGCCGGACCTGAAGGAACTCTGAGGCAGGCCTTGTGGGAAGATTTGCCTTTCTTCAGAGCTCATTCTGTAACGAAGTGTCTGTTTTGCAACCACTACCTCTTTCCTGCTTTTTTCCTTTTTCTTTGAGAAAGGGTTTTGTTAAATAATTTAGGCTGACTTTGAACTCACTGTGTAGCCCAGGCTGATCTCAAACTTGGGATCCTCCTGCCTCAGCCTCTCAAGCACTGGGCTTACAGGCGTGGACCCCTACACTCAGTTTGCTTTGTTTTTGAGTGTGGTAACATGAAAGGGAGTTACTGTGAGCTGCGGCAGCTCACTGTCATCCTGAGGGACAGGTCAGAGATTGTGTGACACCTCCCACAGGCCTGATGCAATGGTCTTTATTATTTAAGCATCAGAAGCTTAAATACTTGTGGCCAGAAGCATTCTGATCCCAACCAGGAGTTGCTGACTGCTAATAAATCCTACCCTAGCACGTTTTATATTTGCACTCACATACGCAGTTAACTTTTCTTTTTTTTGTCTATTTTGAGACAGGGTCTCACTATGCAGTTCAGGCTGGTCTTGAACTCACTTTGTAGCCCAGGCTGGCCTCAAACTTGCAATGATCCTCCTGCCTCAGCCTCCTGAGTACTGGGATTATAAGTGTGTACCACCACACCGGGCAGTTTTTTGGTTCAGTTTTTTTTTGTACGGGAAATGAACTCAGGATCTTGCATTTATTAGGCAGGTGCTGAGCTGCTGAGCTATATCTCCAGTCCAACACGTGGTTAACACGTGAGCCACCCCCACCCCCTCCACCCCTGGTGAGCCAGTAGGGTCCCATCCCACGTTGTTTGTCTGCACCTGTCCTCCACAGAGTCGCCCTGCTTTCTCCTTCAGGGCGCTTCTTCAGGAATGTCAGGTCCCAAACAGCCAAGGTAACTTTCTCACCTTTGTTTTTTCACTGTGAAAGGCGCGAGCCCCAGCGCCCCAGCGCGGCAGCAGCACTTGCAGTAGAAGTCGTGGCTAAGCTTTGCAGGCGGGAGGAATCTGTCCCTGAATTAATTGCTCCTCTCTTTCACCTACGCAGGGGTTTGGTATTAATGCTCCTCAGAATCGACAATGTGGGGTAATGTCTAGGTCTGCACCAGACCATTTTACAATTCCAGATTGCTGCTATAAAGCATTTATGGCCCTTACTTTAGTGCCTTTGTTGGGACGTTTTTATTGCTTCCTCCGCTGCATGATTATCGTTCCACTTGGGGCTGGCATTAATTCCCGTGCAGCTGATCCCCGTCACAGCGGAGGCCTGGACGCCGGGTCCTCAATTATCTAACTGCGTGGGCACCCTAAGTCATTCCCTGTCTGTGTGTATTGACTTCAGTTTGCCAGATTATTACTATTAGTGAGAATATCGCCTGCGATAATTTTTATCACTCTGATGAAACTGGTCTCATTGCTGAGCAGTGCTCCTGGCCACTCACTGGTGTGACAGGCTTCTGAATGGATGGGAAGTGTGATAGTCTCGCCTCCAAGTTAGAAAACTAGCTCACATGAAGCCACACTAGTTACTAAATAACTAGATTTATTTGAATATTGCTAAGTTTTTCCAGTTGTTTCACATCACTTACTAAATAGTGTTTAGTAAGGCTGGGTGTGGTGGCGCGTGCCTGTAATTCCAGCACTCTAGAGGCTGAGGCGGGAGGATCGCCATGAGTTCGAGGCCAGCCTGGTCTACGTAGTGAGTTCAAAGCAAGTCTTACTCTACTTTGCGAGACCCTATCTCAATAAAAAATTAAATAGAATTAAGCATTTTTCTAAAAATGCTACTAAACATCCTCACAAATCTGTACAAGTACGTCATCAAAAAATAGCCAGGCGCAGTGGCACACGCCTACAATCCCAGCACTCGGGAGGCCGAGGCAAGAAGCTCACTGTGACATCGAGGCCAGCCTGGGCTACCTAGTGAGTTCAGCCTGGGCTACCTAGTGAGACCCTATCTCAAAAAAAAAAAAAGTGAGTTGTATAACCTTGTCAGTGAGAGAGTTTAGTTTTATTATATTATAGAATGATTGATTTTTTTTCCAGTAGTATGCTTGATTGAACCCAGGGCCTGTACACCGGGGTATATCCCCAGCCCTTTTAATTTCATTTATTTTTTGTTTGAGGCAGGGTCTTGCTAAATCCTTAAATTGCCCGGGCTGGGCTCCAATGGCTGCTCTTCTGCCTCAGCCTCCCAGAACACGGCAGCTAGAGGCGTGTACCTGGGCAGGTGATGAACGTCTGCGCTCCTCACTAGGACCACCTGTCGCCACTCCTTTTAAAAATATCCGTCACCAGGTCTCATTCAGAAGAGCAGTTTATCGCGCCTCTGAGCTTTGGTCACCTGGACTTCTTGTATCTCCTTTCACTGGCTCAGTGACCTTGGGCAGATGCTTAACGTCTCAGACGCCCCAGCTGGCGTCACCCGGACTAGCTCTTGGCGGCCGCTAGGAGGGGAGACGCTTCTCTCTGAGGGCCTCGTCCCTGGACGCAGCTCCTTCCACCCACGCAGCTTCCCAGGCCTGACACTCAGTGCTCTGAGTAGCAAGTGTCCCGGCCGCGCAAACCGGCCGGGCTGCCTGCGGCGTGTGGCCACCTGCCGCCGGGTGTGCTGTCAGCGGCTCCTCTTCCCTGCTGCTGGCGGATCCTCCCCGGCCTCCACCTCTTTTGAACTTGCCTTTCTCCCAAGAGTGCTGAGAGTCCCTGTGGCCCTGGGGCAGGCAGGCCTGATGGGAACAACCGACCCCCGCCTCCCCCGCCATGCCTGCCCACCCGCCCGCACCCTCCGCTGCTGCATAGCGAGACCCTGCCTCACATTTAAAAAAAATGAAATATTCAAATGCATAAAAAGCTATAAAGAAAAATGTAGCAAACACCTCTGAGCCCACCAACCCCTCTGCTGACTCCAGGGTTTTTTCTTGCTGTTTGTGGGGTGGAACCCAGGGGCCAAGCGTGCAAGGCAAGTGCTCTCCCCCCGAGCCACACCTCCAGCCCTCATACTGAGCTTCTTGATTCTTGGTTTGAGAGTCCTTGAAACTTCCAGTGTGTGTGTGTGTGTGTGTGTGTGTGTGTGTCTTTTGTTTTGTTTTCCTCAGACAGGGTCTCCCTATGTAGCTCAGGCTGGCCTTGAGTTCGCTGGGTTAGCCCAGACTGGCCTCAAACTCACGGTGATCCTCCTGCCTCTGCCTACCAAGTGCTGGAAACCATCCGGTATTTACCTTGCTGTGTCTGACTTACTTCACTTAGCAGGCTGGTGTCAGGTTCCACCCATTTGCTTGCAGGTGACGTGACTGCATTCTTCTTTCTGGCTGAGTTATGATCCATTGCGTTTAATGGTGCCTTTGCTTTCCCTGTTCGTGCATTGATAGTCACTGAGGCTCTTTCCGAGTTCCACTGTTGTGAATTAGCCTGCCATAAACACGGGCCACTGTCATCGGATATCTCTAGACCTTTCAGAATATACCCAGGACCGACTCAGCTGGATCAAACAGAACAGGATTTTTACAGCAGTGTAGCATTTCTCATTTACCTAATCATTTCTAATTTCTAGATGTTTACTTTGTTTGCAATTTTTAACCAAAATAAGAGTGGTTACTTTTTTTTTTTTTTGAGACAAGGTTTCACTATGCCATTCAGGTTGGCCTTAAACTCACTGTGTAGCCCAGGCTGGCCTCAAACTTGTAGCGAACCTCCTGCCTCAGCCTCCCAAATTCTGGGATTATAGGTGTGTACCATGCCCAGCTAGGAGTAGTTACTTTTTAAACTGTTTTAGATCATCTTTGTTTATCTGCATCTGGTTTTCTTTTTTCATGGTCTAAAGAGATAATGAACCATTCTAAGGCTCGTGGATGCTGCAGGATTGCTCGGAGGATGGTACACGCCCCCCTCTCCCCCACGGCACCCTGGCCCGGCAGTATCCGAAAACTGCTCTCTGTACCTGCTCAGCCCTGAAGAGACTGTTTCTTTAACTTGTTGCTAGCGTACTGGGTGGAGAGTTGTAACTTGTTTCTATCCTATATGAGCAGTGTCCTTGAATTCTGTGTGCTTCTGTCTTTCCTCTGATGTATTTTCCTTTTCTCTGTGTCAGGCTGCTGTTTGAAAGTAATGCTTTAGTGCCTTCCTTTCTTGTCTTTTTTTCTAGTGCTGAGGGTTGAGCCCAGGGACGATCTACAACTGAGCTACATCCCCAGCCCTTTTTGTTTTTTAAGACAGTTTCTCACTAAGTTGCTCAGGCTGGCCTCAAATACGAGATTCTCCTGTCTCAGCCTCTCACATGGCTGGGATCATAGGTGTATGACCTAATAGACTGATGGTCCTTAGTGATAACTTACCCCCTTTTTCAGTTTTCATACTGAGGGCATTTTGAGGAGCTGGCGAAGTGACCAGACTGTATTTACCCATGTGAATAATCAGAACTGTCCTTTACAGCAGGTATTGGACCATTGAATGTGGACCAGGGTAGTGGACCACGCAGCTCTGCCGTTTGGACAGCGGGCTTAGCTTGTGTGGCGGAGCTGTGCTTGCACGCTCGCGTGGCCCTGCCTTGTTGCGGGGGGCGCAGTGAGGCGTGTGAATGGTGCTGGTACTCCGTGGGTTCCAGTCCGTTTCCTGTCACCCTACACGATAGGACTGTCCCCATCAGACGCTTCCTGGTACCGGAATAAAGGCCCCAGGGCCCAAGGGGAAGGGGAGTGGACTGGGGACAGAGAGAGAAGTTCTGGAAAACCTGGGTGATGTACGTGATCTTAGGACTAGGCCTCTCTTCTCAGTGGCTTTATCTAGTGTCTCCCAAACTTCAGCCATAGGCCGTTTTTGTACATTTTTGCCTTTTTTTTTTTGTCTTTTTGAGACAGGGTCTGGCTGTGCAGTTCAGGCTGGCCTTGGGCTCACTTGGTAGTCCAGGCTGGCCTCAAACTCACAATGATCGTTCTGCCTTAGCCTCCGTTTTTGCCATATTTACACTATGACTTACTAAGTATATTTTTAAAAATACTCATTTTCATTACTCAGATTTTTATCTTTTTTTTTTTGGTACCGGGCAGGCCCTTGCACTTGCCAGGCAGGTGCTTGTACTGCTGAGCTATATCCCCGGCCCACTCAGATTTATTTTTAAAAATAAACCTTACCTACCAATTCCTTATGATGAAGGTGATATTTACTTATTTATTTATTTATTTATTTATTTTTGTCTTTTTGAGACAGGGTCTTGCTATGCAGTTCAGGCTGGCTTTGAGTTTACTTTGTAGCCCAGGCTGGTCTTGAACTTGCAAGGATCCTCCTGCTGTAGCCTCCCAAGTGCTGGGATTACAGGTGTGTGCCACCACACCCGCCATACCTAGATCTAAAATGTACCAATAAACTTTTTTTTTTGTCTTTTTGAGACAGGGTCTCACTATGTAGCTCAAGCTGGCCTTAAACTTACTGTGTAGCCTAGGTTTGCCTTGAACTTGAAACAGTCCTCCTGCCTCAGCCTCCTGAGTGCTAAGATTATAGGTGTGTGCCACCAGGCCTGGCCCAATAAACTTAATTTAAAAAAATAAACCTTATCACTTGTCTCAATAGGATATCAATATCATTTGCCTTAAATAGAAAGTAATCTCAAAAATAAACACAGTGAAAAACAATCTTATTAAATTTTAAGCCCAATCTTGTTGCTTGCAAATGTCTTGATCCTGAAGCTGCCTTCTTTTGTTAGGAAAAAATATAGAGTGTCTTGTCTTTTTTTTTTTTTTTTTTTTT